CATTTCCCTAGGTCTATCAGGTTCTCCTCCTCCTCCTCCTCCTCCTCCTCCTCCTCCTCCTCCCCCTTGCAAATCTGTCTCCCTTCTAGAACTGATGATGTTACCTAGTTGGGTAATGAAACGTCTGCCAGAAAACCATCAAGCTCAGAGAGCACCAAGGACCCACCTGTCCTCCTCCTCCTCCTTCTCACAAATCACTCTCCCTTCTAGAATTGATGATGTTACCTAGTTGGGTAATGAAACGTCTGCCAGAAAACCATGAAGCTCAGAGAGCACCAAGCACTTCACAGTCCTCCTCCTCCTTCTCCTCCCCCCACTCCCCCCTGCAAACCTCACTCCCTTCTAGCACTGATGATGTTACCTAATTGGGTCATGAAACGTCTGCAAGAAAACCACCAAGCTCAGAGAGTAGCAAGGACACCCCTCCAAAAAAAGAAGAAAACTTTGGCACTTCTTTCCCAATTCCACCCCTCTCTGCCTCCCATCGCACTGGTCCCTTCCTCTGATGGGACTTCCCCTCCTTGCTTTTCTTCTTATTCAAGGAAAAAAAAATTCTTTTCTTAAATGATGCATTTTGCTCTTTAGCATCTTTTCTTAAAGTGCAGCCAGTTTGGGGAATGAAAAGAAACTCACCAGAGTTTCTCTCCTGTAGTACAATTTGTCCTTTTCAAAGGCTGCTTCCCCCCCAACCTCCCATCCCTCAAGTACACACGCACACACAAATACACACACTTTCTTTGGCAAGCAACAATGGGCCTTTTCACGGGAAGCTTAACATGGATAATTCTCCTTTCCTGGCTGAAGGGTAAGTGTGTTATTCCACTGTTGCTCCTTTAATTGATTTTCTATTAATTCTTCTGATCAATCCGATTAAGCACAAATGGAATTATTTTTCTTCCTTTTCGAGGAACCGTCTTTTGGTTTTTATTTGTGGGGGGGAGGAACTTCTGTGTCTTTTGTTGTGGGTTGGCTGCCCCTGGCAACAAAAGGACTTTGTGAGTCCCTGTGTGCAGGAAAAGGCTGTTTGAATTAAAGGAAATCGAGGCAGGGAAAAGTCTTGTGAACAATACATCCTAAATGAGCAATTTGAAGTCTATAATAATAATAAAGTTGGAAGGGACGTTGGAGGTCATCGAGTCCAACCCCCTGCTCAAGCAGGAGACCCTATACCATTTTGTACAGATGGCTGTCCAGTCTCTTCTTAAAAACTTCCAGTGTTGGAGCATTCACAGCTTTGTTCTAACTGTCAGGAAGTTTCTCCTTAGTTCTAGGTTGCTTCTCTCCTTCGTTAGGTTCCATCCGGTGCTTCTTGTCCTGCCTTCAGGTGCTTTGGAGAATAGCTTGACTCTTCTTTGGGGCAGCCCCTGAGATACTGGAAGAGTGCTATCATGTCCCCCCTCGTCCTTCTCTTAATTAAACTAGACATACCTAATTCCAGCAGCCTTTCCTTATATGTTTTAGTCTCCAGTCCCTAAACATCTTTGTTGCTCTTCTCTGTACTCTTTCTAGAGTCTCAGCATCTTTTTTACATCAGGCAGAATTGTCAAAAATAAGGAATAGTTTAGCTAAATTAGGGAACTGGGGGGTAAACCATACAATGAACGAAGAAGAAGTGAAGGACTACGGGTGACATATGATAGCGGTGTTCCAATATTTGAGGGGCTGCCACAAAGAAGAAAGGGGTCAACCTATTCTCGAAAGCATCAGAAGGCAGGACAAGAAACAATGGATGGAAACTATTCAAGGAGAGAAGCAACCTAGAAATAAGGAGGAATTTCCCTAGAACAATTAAGCAGTGGAATGGTTTGCCTCCTGTGGTTGTGGGTGTTCCAGCACTGGAGATTTTCAAGAAGAGATTGGAGAGCCGTTTGTCTGAAATGGTATAAGGCAGGGGTGTCAAACTCAATTTCACTGAGGGCCACATCAGCATTGCAGTTGCCCTGGGGGGGGGCTGGGGGTGTGTGGCCAGAGTGGGTGCAGCCTACTGGGTGGGCGTGGATGGAGTGGGTGTGGCCTACTGGGTGGGCGTGGCCAGTTCTACATCATTCACGTCAAGGGTGCCTATGGGTGCCTGGGTAGGAGTGGGACAGAGCAAGTGCCAAGATGGCCACCAGAAAATTGTACATTGGCTCCCAGCTGGCCTGGGCCAAGGCAGTGGGGGCCGTTCCCTCACTGTTTCCAGGATGGCTTTGCTGGCCACATGAAACCACTTCGTGGGCCACATCCAGCCTCCGGGCCTTGTGTTTGACATGTCTGGTATAACGTCTCCTGCTTAAGCAGGGGGTTGGACTAGAAGACCTCCAGGCTCCCTTCCAACTCTATCATTCCATATTCTGTATTCTCCACATCTGGCACGAGGTACCTAAAGCGTTCATGATTTAAGAACTGCAAACGGATTAATGGTGATAATGAACTGGAGTTGATCATTAATCATTGGTGGCACTTCCCTCTCTGTGCCAGTGATAAATGAAGTGGTGTGATCCCTTTCTCCAAACACTGTAAAACAACTGAGGTCACTGGAGATAAGATGTGGAGGAAAATGAAGACATTGCTTGCTTTTAATTTAAATTTATAAGATAGTCCTCGATTTACGACAACTGAGCCCAAAATTTCTTTTGCAAAAGGTGACAGTTGTTAAATGAGTTTTGCCCCATTTTATGACCTTCCTTGCCATAGTTGTTATTGTTAAGCTAATAACTTAACTCAGTCTCCTTATGATTGGCCCAAAGTCACCCAGCTGGCTTTCACAGCTAAGGTAGGACTAGAACTCACCGTCTCCTGGTGACTGGCCCAAAG